AATCCAATACCCTTTCATGACAAAGGTCTTGGAGAGATCAGGGATAACAGGACCATACCTAAACATCATAAAAACAATATATAGCAACCCAACATCAAACTGAATAGAGAGAAACTCAAGGCAATTCCTCTAAAATTAAGAACAAGACAAGGCTGTTCATTCTTTCCATACCTCTTCAATATTGTACTTGAAGTTCTAGTTAGAACAATAAGAAAACAAAAGGAGAACAAAGGAATACAAATCGGAAAGGATGAGGTCAAACTTTCACTATTTGCAGATTATAATATGATAGTTTACATAAGTGACCCAAAAAACTCTACCAAGGAACTCCTATGGCTGATAAATACCTTCAGCAAAGTGGCAGGATGTAAGATCAACTCAAAAAAATCAGTAGCCCTACTATATACAGATGATAAAAGGGCTGAGAAAAAAATCAGAGAAACATGGCCCTTTACAATAGCCACAAAAAACATAAAATACATTGGGGTAATGCTAAACAAACAAGTGAAAGACCTGTATCGCAAGAACTTTTAGTCTTTAAAGAAATAAATTAAAGAAGACACCAGAAAATGGAAGAATCCCCCATGCTCTTGGATCAACGTAGTAAAAATGGCAATCTTGCCAAAAGCAATCTGCAGACTCAATGCAATCCCCATCAAAATCCCAGCACATTTCTTCACAGACCTTGAAAGAACAATAATCAACTTTATATGGAAAAACAAAAGACCCAGGATAGCCAAAGCAACCCTGTTGAACAAAGCAACATCCAGAGGCATCACCTTCCCTGACTTCAAGCTCTATTATAGAGCTATAGTCCTGAAAACAGCTTAGTATTGGCACAAAAATAGACAGGTAGACCAATGGAATAGAATTGTACACCTAATCTTTGACAAAGGAGCTAAAATTATACAATGGAAAAAATAAAGCATGTTCAACAAACGGTGCTGGCATAACTGGATACTGGCATATAGAAAACTGCAGATCTATCACCATGCACAAAAGTCCAAATTGATCAAAAACCTCAACATAAATTCAGCCACACTGAACCTCTTAGAAGAGAAAGTGGGAGGACCCTTGAATGAACTGGTACCGGAGACTGCTTCCTGAACATAATACCAGTGGCACAGGCACTGAGATCGACAATTAACAAATGAGACCTCCTGAAACTGAGAATCTTCTGTAAGGCAAAGGACACAGTCAACAAGACAAAAAGGCAGCCCACAGAGTGGGAAAAGATATTCATTAACCCCACATCTGACAGAGGTTAATCTGCAAAATTTACAAAGAACTCAAGAAGCAAGTCTCCAAAACTCCAAAGGATCCAATTAAAAATGTGGTACAGAACTAAATAGAGAATTCTCAATAAAGGAGCCTAAAATGGCTGAGACACACTTGAGAAAGTGCTCAACATCCATAGCCATTAGGGAAATGCAAATCAAAACAACTCTGAGATACCATCTCACTCCTGTCAGAATGGCTAAAATCAAAACACCAATGACAATTTATGCTGGAGATAATGTGGAGAAAGGGGAACACTCCTCCACTGTTGGTGGGAATGCCAACTTGTACAGTCACTTTGAAAATCAGTATGGAGATTCCTTAGGGAAATGGGAATCAATTTACTACAAGACCCAGCAATTCTACTCTTAGGCATATACCCAAAAGATGCACATTCATACAACAAGGTTGTCTGTTCCACTATGTTCATAGTAGCATTATTTGTAATAGCTAGAACCTGGAAGCAACCTAGATGCCCCACAACTGAAGAGTGGATAAAGAAAATGTGGTACATTTATACTACAGAGTACTACTCAGCAGAAAAAAAAGTAAAAAGCAATGAAATCTTGAAATTTTCAGGCAAATGGATGGCACTAGAAGAAACCATCCTGAGTGAGGTAACCCAGTCACAAAAAGACAAATATGGTATGTAGTCACTCATATATGGATTTTAGCCATGGATCATGGGAGTGCCAGCCTACAATCCCACTGCCAAACCTTCATCCAGCAACTGATGGAAGCAGAGGCAGATACCCACGGATAAACACAGAAACTGAACTCCTGGAACCCAGTGACAGAGAGGGAGGAATGATGAGGAAAGGTGTCAAGCCCGTGCTGGTGACACCCACAGAGACAGCTGACCTGACAAGGGGGAGCTCTTGGACCCCATACTGATGACTGAGAGGTCAGCATGGGACTGATCCAGACTCCCTGAATGTAGTGTCAGTGAGGAGGCCTCAGTATTCTATGGGGCCTTGGATAATAGACCATTATTTAGCCCTGGCATACAAATGGACTTTGGGAACCCATTCTGCATGGAGGGATGCTCTCTCAGCCTGGACACATCGAGGAGGGCCTAGGGCCTGCCCTGGATGAAATGACAGACTCTAGAGATCCCCATGGAGGGCCTCACCTTCCCTGGGGAACAGTGTGGGGATTTGGTGGGGGGCTGGGGAGCTGGTGGGGGGCAAGGGAGGAAGGGAAGCAGAGGGAGTTGGGATTGACATGTAAAGCAAGCTTGTTTCTAGTTTAAATAAAAAATTATATATAAAAATAGTCCCTAACCTACTGGTGGCGATTGATTTCAGGTGATCCATCCACCAGAATGCAAGGCACTGATGAGTCAGTCTCTGATAGGCAAGGCTGCAAGGGGTCGGTCCAGAACACCTCTTGCTACTGTGCCATTACACCTCTGACACTGCTAATTTTCTCTGGTATCTGGCATTGTGTCAATGGATGTGAGGCAATTTTCCACTAGCTTTAATGTATTGTGGTTATCTCAGGGAAATATCCTGTTCTAATGGGCATTTTTGCCTGAGGATTATTTGAAGATGATTTCCTCCTAAGCTGTACTGTTTAACTGAAGCAATGATTTAATGCAATAATAGTGCTACTTTAAATAGAATTTTTATGATTGAGGGTTTTGAATAAATATAGTAAGGTATTGTGATAGAGGTTATTTTAATGGGAAATTTTATATAGATAAAAGCAGGACATATTGTTGTCCCTGCCCCTGATAAAACAGGGGCTGTAAGGATAGAAAATAAAAAGAAGGAAGTGTTCTTATTTGTTCTAGGACTTATGAGTTTCTCTTGAGGAGCTCTACAGACTGTGGCTTGGGTTAATGATTAAGGAAAACAATTGATTCCTAGAAGATAGTCTAGCACAAGTCCTTTAAATATTAATGTTTGAAGATGTGATAATGAGTTTCAGTGTGCATTTTAGCTAAAACATAGCTATAAATAATGACAAGTTTAGGTATATGTTTTTGTTAATGCCCTTGAGGTAGAAAATCTTGGGGAACAATTTGTAGTTTAGAAAGGCATACTTTTAATAGTTGAAAAAGAGACTCACTGAAGTCAGGGAACAAAAACAATGACAACCTATTGCTGGCTTTTGTATCTCTCTTGATAGAATGCGTTGGTGATCAAAGGTGATAATTAATTCCTCATACCCACTCCTGCACTTAGCCCCCTGATATAAAAAAAATGACAAATGGGTAAGTTCTCTAAGGATTTAAAGTAGAACTGATTATTTTTCATATAGAAAAAATTTAGATTTGTGATTCTTACAAGTTCTTTTATAACATTAGCTTTAGAGATAAATAAAAACAATTGATCCTTTCTTTGTAACCACAAAATGCAGCCTGAAAGCAAAAGAACTGAGAAAAATACCTTACTTGTTTGCTTATTCTGTTAATCTACAGCAGCTTTCTTGTACATGAAAGTATGTGTGTTTACAGGAATAATTTCTTTTCCTTCTGTAATATGTAAAATGTTTAACCATGTAAGTAAAATGAGAAACATCTCATTTTTCACTTGTATTCAATGTAATCATTCACTTAAAAAGAACAGAATGTGACCACATTGTAATTTTTATGTTGCTTGAAAGGTTCTGCTAGGTATATAAGGTATAAAGGGAAAAATAAATGCATAAAAGGCATCAATTTGGATAGATGTAAGAAAAGAAATAAATGAGAGAGAGATCATAGAAAGACCCTAAGTGTGTGTGTGTGTGTGTGTGTGTGTGTGTGTGTGTGTGTGTGTGTGGTTTTTCTCTTTTTACAGGCCCCGGAAAGTTAAGTTTTACTCCCTCAGATAGAAAGGTCAAGTTGAGTGGTTAGTTCACCGAGTCTGTGACTCCCCCTCAATTCCTGCACTGCTGAAGGCTGGTCCCCAGGGCAGCATTCACAGAAAGTCTTTCAATATTGATAATTACATAGTTCTCGCAATGTAGTATTAATGTTAAAGTGAAAACAATGTAATGATATCAGTAAGTTCAATTAGATCACTGACTGCAATACTAGTCTTGCAACAATTTTAGACACATTTTCTCACCTCAGTTTCTGGCCCCTTTTCACACACTCTCATCTCATGTTTTGAGAGTTCTCTCACTTAGATTACTAACCTCTCTGGCAGAGGTGAGGGTTGGTTTCCCCAATGCTGATTGCCAAGGGTGCAACTGTAGTAGACCTGAGTCAAAGTGTCGGGGCTCTGTACCAGGATCTGGACTGGGCAAGCTCTTACAGCAAGTCTACCGTGTCTAAAACAGTTGTCTGTTCATACATGGAAAATGTTATTTATTCACAGACTTTTAACTGAAGCCCAATAGGAGAATCCCTGTTCACATTTCATGAACTTCTTGAATAAAATTACATTTAAGTTTTCTCTACAAAATTGTGATTATCTGACATGTGTGAGCATGTGTGTGTGTGTTTGTAAATGAATAGGTGAGTGTGTGAGCGCCTGTGTTTATATGTCTGTGTGACCGCAGGTGTGTGCATGTCACACCAGGTGTAGAAATGCAAGAGCAACTCTCAGGAGGTGATTTTCATCCACCAAAGGTATTGGGAATTGAACTTTTGTTGTCAGATTTGTGCAGCAAGTGATTTTACCTGATGAGCCATCTCACCATGCCAAAGCAATCATTTAAAATTATAACATAATTGGAATCATAACTCTAGAATATGTCCAGGTACTGAAAGAAGAAATAAAGCCACATACCTGTGTGAAGAGATGAATGTGATGCCTGGCTAAGCCCCTGAGTCCTGGCTAAGTTTAAGTCAGCGTAGACAACTGATGTGTCCATCAAGGTAGGAGGTATGGCACTGGCATGTGAGTGAAGAGAAACTCAAAGCTCTGTGAGGCCAAATGAACAAAAGGAAATCCGCTGTGAAGACTCTCCTGCCTGTGTCCACACCCACACACACTTGTATCTGAGGGTTTCTCCAGTTACCGGACTTGGTGTTCATTATGCTCTCACAGTTTACTCATTCTTATCTTTCAAAGGGAAGATATAACACATGGTATGCTTTTTGAGAAAATTATGGAAAAGACTTTTTTGTTCTTATTTCTTTAGCCGTGTGTTTTGTTATTTCCTCAGAGCAAATGTCAGGGTACATGACTACCTGCTGTGGAATATTCCTTTACACTATGTGAATGTATTTTTGTTGTGATTGGTTTAATAAAGAACCGGGCTGAACAGTAGCCGAACAGAATAAGTTTAGGCTGGAGAGCCAGACTAGGAGAATGCTGGAGGAAGAGGGTGGAGTCAGGAGTTGCCAGCCACACAGAGAGGGAGCATTAGATGAACCTACCATGTTAATAATTGTATCCCTAAGTGACAGACTGTAAATAAGGAATATGGGTTAGCTTAAAATGTAAGAGCTAAAGCACTGAACCATACTCCTGGACTCCAGTTGTAGAGAGGGAGGAGAGATAAGCAAACCAGTCAAGACTATCCTGGAGAAACCTACAGAACCAGCTGACCTGACCTTGTGAGAGCTCACAGACCCCAGTCATAAAGCTGGGAAAACAGCATTGGACTGAACCAAACCCTGTGAATGTGGATGCCAATTAGGAGGCCTGGGCAGGCTATGGGACCTCAAACAGAGGAACCAGTATTTATCCCTAATGCACAAATGAACTTTGGGAGCCCATTCTCTATGGATGGATACTATTTCAGTCCACATACATAGAGGAAGGCCAAGGCCCTCCCCAAATGTCGTGACAGACTTTGCTGATTCCCCCATGGAAAGCCTCACTATCCATTGGGGAGTAGGTGGGACATTGGTTGGGGGATTGGTAGGAGACATGAGAGGGTGGGAAGGAGACAGAATGGGGGGATTGATATGTAAAATGATTGCTTCTAAATAAAAAAGTAAATGAAAAGTGTAAGAGCTAGCTAGTAATAAGCCTGAGCTCAGGCTTATTACTAGACAGATGATAGATAGACAGATAGAAGATAGATAGATAGATAGATAGATGATAGATAGATAGATAGATAGATAGATAGATAGATAGATAGATAGATAGATAGATGATAGATAGACAGACAGACAGATGTTAGATACATACTGGCACAATAGGAAAAGCTGTGAGGAGGGAGTCAAATGTGCTTTTCAGCATTGTCCTGAAGGCTCACATGGTTGTTATAATATTCACCTGAGTGAAATGACTTTATCTGTCAGAGCTGCAGAGAGTGGAGGACTTGGGTCTATAGAGTGTGTTAATTCCTTCAAGGATTTTCAGGCCTAGAGACTTAGAGCAAGACTCCAAATTCCATGTCAGACATTCTCAGATTATAGGTAAAGAAGAAGTAAAGCACGGATTTCCTTAAACTTCCTTTCTGTGTACAGAGTGAAATGTACCAGGCACTCAAAATTACATGTCAGTGGCAGCAATCTGCTGGCTGAGTTCTAGAAGACAGGAGATGTGTACTCACAGCATGATGTACACCCTCATTCCCCAAGATGATTAAAAAATGAGAGGAAGCCTGTGTGCAGGTCTCATAACACACTTAAGACTCCGTGAAACCTCCTCAGCTGTCACTGTTTGTTCATAGTCATTTCACTCAATGCCAGACACAAAGATCTTCCTCATTCTTCATCTAAACCTAAGATTCCAACAAGCATGCAAGACCTTCCAGAGATGTCAATCTTGAGTTACTCTATACAGTTCTAGAAAATTATCAAATATAGCAGATAGGAATTTCAGTGTATATTTCATAAGGTTCTCAGTTTTATTATATACAAGAATCACCAGAAAATTTGTTAACAATGTATGTCCCTGCCACATGAACTCCTTTTTCAAGACGGTGTGGCCTTACATGTGGATTGTGTGAATAAACATTCCAAGTATTAAGTTCATTCATGGAGCATACTTAAATAAGCAATCCTGCAGCCAATGAAAGCTGTGGGGATGAGTTAGAAATATCATAAAGTGAAGAGATCTGATGCTCTAAGCAGACGAATCAGACCCTGCTGTGAGGACACTGACTTGAGCTGTAATTTCTGTGGCTACTAAGAATCTGCAATAGCTCTGCTAAAAATGGCAGGTTTGAGGTAAGATGATTTCTGATAAACATGCTTACAAACACCTCTGTTCTATGAAGTGTGAACTAAGTGGAAAAAAACAAGCAGAGATGAGCGTCATTTGTCCACATGAGTGGGAAGAAAACTGACCACTCGCGGGTTACACAATATCAGAAACAACTGCTGCACAGTTATGTGGCTATCATCCTACAGATAATAAAATGTGCTCTCTTGAGACTGCAATCCTGAGAATTTAGTTGTGTTAAAGATGTCATCTGATCACCTGATTTCCAGCATGATATTTTTCACCACAAAATATATCAGAATTCAGAATTACCTTGATCTTGTCACAATAAAATACATGGAAACAGAGAAGAGAGAGAATGTGTGAAAGACATTACTATGTGGTGTTACATGCACACAATGTGACATTAAATCTAAGTAAGTCTAATAATGAATAACTGTAAGTAATCCAGGATTTTAGAGAGTGGAAATAAAGAAACTAATGCTGAATGTCTCAAGAAAACATAAAGACAAGTTGTAGGTCTATTTTGATATCAAACATTCCAAGGTAATAATGGGAGCAAAATGTAAGCAACATTATTCCTTCATGTGAAAACAAATGTGATAAATTAACAATTGTATTCTAGAAGTTGAAAATATGAGACAGAAAGTGATAATTGTGAGGTAGGAACTTCTGCTTCAGGCTAAAACTACAGAGGAGTGGATGACATGAGCAGAATGGCTCATCAGAAGCTACAAGACCTACTGCTCCACACAGCCATTACTTTGTGCATCACCAAACACACCAGAGCACCTCTGCGAGAAGTCCAGAGACTAGATGAGAGGATGTAGCCCCAGAGATACATTAGAGAAGGGGCTAGGCAACTGATGCAGCTCTCTCATGCTTCATCTTTCTGAAGGTCTAGGAGGAAACATCCCACACTGTTGAGAGCCAGAACTATCCAAGGCATTCTCAGAGGCCCTGATGAAAAGGAAAATGGAATACAGTTCTGTGTCCTGGCACAGGAGTGAACTTGGCAAGGCCAGACTGGGGCTGGCGATAGGGCCTCAAAGGAGTTTAAGTTTCAGTTCCTGCTAATGGGACTTCCCTCCATAAAAGACTGGAGTTATCATCCCCAAGGCCACTGTGTGTTTGGTCTGCCATGCTTTTTAGAGTCTCCTCATTTCCTTTGTGCATTGTTGTTTGATTAACCTCCTTTGGACTTAATTATATTGTATGACATCTTTTTCTGGCTCTGTCCCATTTCTTCCCTGGAAATAGTGTACAAGATGACGTATTTCTTAGTAAACTTGCTTAGCATAAGACATAGCTTCTGCAATACCTCCCAAACTTACCTGTTCTATCTTCTTTATCCTGGACCTTCTTTCTCAGGACCTGTCACTGAAGAATGACCTGCTGGTCTGGGTCACCACAGAGACGCGTTTCTTTTTAATAAAATGAAACAATGGGCAGGAATGAATGCTTTGTTTGCTTAGGGATACCTGAGAACTGTTTCTTTCTTGGCTTGCTTGGATTGCCAATGGACATGTCATTAGTTTGTAGACTGCAGATAATAAAGGAAAGCATCAAGTTTTTGGCACAGTGCATGGGCAGACAGCATGGAGAGAGACTGGAAAACAGGTTTGAGAAACACAGTAAGCTCAATGGGATGAAGACTTTCTTCAAAGGAAGAGCCCATGCAAGACTAAGAAGGGTGACTTTTTTTAGATGCCCAATCACAAAATAAAATATAATAGCAAAATGTCATCCAACCAATGAAAGGAAAAGAATACTCCTTAAAGTGTCAGTGATGCTAAAGCAGCTTAGGACACAGTCTTATTTTTTCCATGTGTATATGTTATGTGGGAGTGTGGGTATGAGTGTTCACATGTGTGTAAGTATATATCTGTGGTACATGTGTGTGCACATGGAGGCACCAGTGTGATATTAGGTGTCTTCTTTGACCATGATGTACTTTATTTATTTAGGCAAGGTCTCTTAATGATCCCAGAGCTCACTGATTAGATTAATCAAGTTAACAAAATTTTTTCAGTGGTTCCCTGTCTCCACCTCCCATCTAGTGCTGTAGATGGGCTGCTGTACCTACCATGGAAGCCAGAGCAGAACTAGAAAACCTCAGCTGCAATTAAAAATGTGTTGTGGACTTGGTGTGGTTAACTTGATAGTAACAATCACTTATAAGTGCCAGTCAGAGGGCAATCACAGTCTGAGAGACTGGCCTCCAGAGACTTGACTACATCCTCACCATAAATATCACAAAATAAGTCCCTTAAGATAATGGTAGGGAGAGGAAAAACTATTTCTAAAATATATGACTGATCAGCCAGCAGTGGTGGTGCACACCTTGAATCCCAACACTTGGGAGGCAGAGGCAAGGAGATCTCTATGAGTTTGAGGCCAGCCTGGTCTATAGCAGCAAGTTCCAGGACAGCCAGGGCAACACAGAGAATGCTTATCTCAAAAACCAACAACCCCCCCAAAAAAACTATAAAATATATGGCTGATCACTCAGCTTTTAACAGAAGTTTACTCAGGATGGATAGATAGATAGATAGATAGATAGATAGATAGATAGATAGATAGATAGATGAGTGGATGGATACATGGATGCATGGATAAAACAAAATTCTAGGAATTCAGAACCTAAGAGCAGGAGATTTATTGAAGTCTAACTGCCCAGGGGACAGAAGAAAAACACTCTATTCAGTCACCTTTCCTTACAGAGAAGCAAGTCAATTTGAGCCCACTCTAGACTTCTATAAGGAATGGAAATTCCCAACTTAACTG